TGTATATATATATGTGTGTGTATGAGATAATGATGATATATATATATATGTGTGTGTGTGTGTGTGTGTGTGAGATAATGATATATATGTGTGTATATGTATATATGTGTGTGTGTATGAGATGATATATATATATATATATATATATATATATATGTATATATGTGTGTGTATGAGATAATGATATATATATATATATATATATGTATATATGTGTGTGTATGAGATAATGATATATATATATATATATATATGTGTGTATGAGATAATGATATATATATATATATATATATATATATATATGTGTGTGTGAGATAATGATATATATATATATATATATATATATATATGTGTGTGTGTGTGTGTGTGTGTGTGTATATAATAATGATATATATATATATATATATATATATATATATATATATATATATATATATATTAGATAACGATATACAAATATTTGTATACCAAGAACAATATTGGAGGATAAAATGTATGGCAAAGTGGAAAAAAGTTTTCATGTGATGCATTTTGTCCTTTACGAATACATCAGACTAAATTTGTTACATTGGTGTGACTGCTCATTGGTGTGACTGCACATGTGCATGCACGAGGGATGCTGGGAATTTAAAAAAAAATTAAATTTAAATTTCCCATTTTCTCTTAATAAGATTTCTTGAATATTCAGGCCATTATACAAAATAAACAAATGCACTGTTTAATAAAAAAAATTGAGCATCTACTCATATATGGGTATCCATAAAATAATGTTTAACTAATAATAAAATAGTAAATGGCACAGCCACTCATATCCCAAGGATGCTAGTCTACTAGGATGGCCAGCTAATCTCCATTGCAGACACCTGCTCAGGCACATTTGTGTTTGTTCAATACCCACTGGGCTCACCTGTGGTTTATACTGCAGCTATGCCGGGCAGACCTTAGTTACAGTTTCTGGCAGAGAGCACGTTATTTGGTATGATCAACAGTCTGAACAAGGCTAGCACACTCAAATTCTTGGTCAGGATTTGTTAATTCATATGAGCACAACCACTGATGGCTCCCAAGGGTTATGCTTAAGTAATGATAATAATAATAATAATAATAATATGGCAGTAATTCAAATATTATCCACACATTTGCCTTAACATATCTTTAGATAATCATACTTTTCGTGTATATATATATATATATATATATATATATATATATATACAATGATGTCCAAAATTGTTATATCCCATGCTAATAGGAATATATACTTGAAAAACAAGGTGGATAAAATAAGTAATGGTTTATTGTAAAAACCAATACAATAAGAATAAAAGTAACAGTTATGTTCAAGGTCATCGCAAGTCAATCCAGTAGTGAGTGCTACTATTAGAAGGTTGGTAGTTCTCGCATAAGTTGTACTCAACAGATCCCAACTAGTCTCTGTAATTTGTTGACTTCCAGATACTTATAGGTTGTTACTACCTATAGTGTAGTCACTCATGGGGGTGACAGGTTATTCCATTACATCAAAAAGTAAGTGAATCCCTAAGATAATATTGTAAAAAATTGTCTCTTTTTTCCAGATGATCAACAAATCTTAATTAAACGATATATTCATTACAGAAACCTTTATTAAATGAATTACAATCACTTTCAAAGATTTTTATCAAGCTTGAATAAAAATATTAATTAAAAATTAAGATATGTAAAAGTAAGTGAACCTTTACATTTACACTTTGTATTTTTGTTTTACATGGTTGCCAGTGCAACTAATTTTTTGTGCATGTGTAAAAATCAAAATGGTACACGTTCATATTTTTGTAAGCTGTGTATACAGAAGTCAAACAATATAACTCATTGTGTATGCAAAAGTGTGCATTTAGAGACTAAATTTAAAAAATATATATGCAAAGATCAAAACAACTTCCTGAAGTTTTAAAAAATTGCATTGTTGAAACCTATATAAAGTAACATTTGAAAGTAACTCATTTCTACAATTCACTTATGAAGTCAACATTAACAATAGAATCTCTTTCCTGGATTTTCTAGTAGATGTGAATAAGGATGATTTTATCACTTCAATATATAAAAGTCCACTAGTAAAAATTTATTTCTCCTTAATTATAAAAGCAAATGTCCACACAGATGTAAAATAGGTGTTATAAAAACATGATTTATCATGCGGAAATAAGATTTTTTATGAGTATTTTAATTTTTTTTATACACAATTCAATAGATGATCCTCTATGGGAAAAGATATCCTATTTAATGATGGCTGCTTCACTTGTATTATAAGCTCCCCCCTCCAGACTTTTAAGTCTTTCTTTGCATTGCGTCCTATATAATATTTTGGCTTTATCTATTAAAATTTGTCTTATGTTAATATTATTTTGTTTATTTGTGATATGTTGTTCTGCAGTGATGGGCAAAAGTAAGTGAATCCCTAAGATAATATTTTTAAAAAATTGTCTCTTTTTTTCCAGATGATCAATTAATTAATCCAGATGATCAAGTTAATTAAACTATATATTCATTAAGGAAAACCTTTATTAAATAAATTACAACCATTTTCAAATATTCTCATAGTTGGAGTAAAATATTAAATAAAAATTAAGATATCTATCTATCTATCTATCTATATATATATATATATATATATATTATCTTTATATTCCTTTATTTTACATATATAATAGTGCTCAAATTGTAAATACTTTTAAAAGAACTTTGTAATACATATTTCTTTTCTGGCTGGACTCAAATATGCAAGACTGCTCAACAGTTTGGTCAGCACTGTTAATTTTGGTGGGTGGAAGAATTCTCCAGCAGAACTAATGGTTGGCTATGCCTAGTATAGTTAGGATGTTACTGTGGTGTATTTGGCGACATTGTTCTGCTTTGGTTATTTCACTTTGCATTCACTTCCAAGTGTGGTGGTTAAATTCTCTGCCTTTTTTACGGGTCTACGGGGAATTTTTGGTCGAGCCTATGGGCTCAGATACCCCACAATAAACTCGACCTTGTGCCACATCTGACCAGATGGGGCGGTTAGTTAATAACTCCATGGGATCATGCGCTAGTCAAACTATGGAGTGCTGCTGTTGGTCCATGCTAACAATTTGGTACTTGTTGTGTAGGAAACCTACCACCCCTCTTGAAGATGAACTTGTCTACAAACAAAGACGTTAAATAGTGGCATGTCAAAAGACAGAGAGTCGGAGAAGTCCTTGGCTGAGCTAGTTATAGACTACTCAGGCGATTTCTGTACCTACTTACCAACCGAATAAACCCCTTTTTATTGTTACGTGTTATTTGGCGTTTGTCTTTATTAACCCCAAATTAACATCATAACAGTACTATAATCTAGTGCTGACAACAAGGAGAAAGAAGTCTGGAAGAGAGCACTTCATATTGAAATAACAGTTGGTTACCAGTGAGAATCAGCCTGGAGATATGACTGCTGTGTGATTCAAACCACCGAACATAGATGAATCTCCTTGTGTCAACAGTCAGTCAATGATGAAATATACAAATGGGAACTCAATGTTTTTTGTCATGAGTTAGGGCACATTAAATAAGCCCTAATTCAAACGATACAATGAATTATGCTCATGTTGCTAATTCTGTTGTAAATAACATGCGAGTCTGAAATAATCCAAAATAAGAACTCAAATTTGCGGTGTCTTGAGTCAGATTGTTGTTCCAGACAAACAGTAAAAAATTGTATGGCGTCATAGAAAAACAAGTAAGAGGAGAAATCTTAAAAAGCAACACCACTTGAGGAAAAAAAAAAATAACAACAGACACTTGATGAAGCAGCTTCCCAAGAGATCAAATTTTAAAGTTACTTGTTATTGGCTTTCTCATTTGCTTAAATAACTTTATTGATCTGATCTCTCTGCCTTTACAGAAGCAATAAAAGATCATGTTTTACGACACCTTTAAGTATTGTGTTCGCATTAGTTTAAACCATGTGTCAAGTGAAATTTAATCCATTCTGCAGAATTCTAACAATCAATTTTACATGACAAAATACTTGTTTATTTCCTTCGGAACATAAATACATAATACAGAATAAAGATTTTCTGTATAACTCAGCAATATTCAATAAATCTTACCAACATATAAAAAATATAACAAGGCATAAAAAGGAAATTAGAGATAAAATAACTTACTGTATAAAAAATAGTAATATTGTTGATGAAAACATCTATATCCAAACATCGAAAAAATAAATCTTAACCCCAACTTTACAAATTTAAATGCAACATTTGTTTTTTAAATTTGAAACTTTGCAATGAATTGTTAATATTCAATGGATGCTTTGGACTATTCTCATTTTTGCAGTTGTTTTTGTCTAACATTTGATATGTGTTATTAATATTGGATTTATCTTTTCAAAAACTCTCATTTTTGTTTTGGTCAGAGACTTTGGGGTCAATCATTCATGTTGCCTTTGGTTATTTTCCAACTATCGTAACATATCTTCCCTATGTCTTTTCTATATATATTTTCATGGTAATTGTTCTGATAAGATTTATGACTTAACAATTTATATTTATTTCACATGTCCTTGCTTTGAATATGGCCACCACATCTGGTCTGTTACTCCTGCTATATATTTAGAGATTCTTGATAAAATCCAAAGAAGATTCTGCAATGTTTTTAGTCCTGACTTGGCCTCTCAGCTTCAGTCCTTTTCCCACCACTGTAACATAGCTTCCTTATGACTTTTCTATAAATACTTTCATGGCAATGGATCAAATGAAATTCGCCCTATGGTACCTAGATTTTATGAATTTAAGTGCAGTACTTGATTGGCAGCTAGGTCTCTTTATTTTACAGTTGAAATGCGTAGGTATAACTCTAAGTTCTATGCTAACAGTTTCTTTTCTTGCAGTTCTCACTTGTGGAATTCTCTACAGGCTTCTTGTTTTCCAGTCAGGATTGATCTTCAAAAATTTAAATGCAATGTAAATCATTATCTTCACTTACAGTGATATTACATTGAGACATCAGTTCCCATACGGTCACCATAGTTAAGCAATGTTGTGCCTGGTCAGTACTGAGATGGGTGATTGCTTTGGAATACCAGGTGCTGTAATATGTGGGTCATGTAATAGATAATGGCTTGGGATTTTTAATTGGAGATTCCAATTCCAGTTAGGTTCATTATTTTCACTTGTGTGCAAATACACTTGGTGAATGTATGAATCCATTTCTTTTCCCCACAAATTAATGGATTAATTAGCAAGACCTGTATCCCTAAATCATTACTATCTCAAAAGAATTATTACAATCTAAAAATATTTTCTGGCTTTAAATAACCTGCAATGGGTTGATCATACATAGAAAATGAATTAATCAATTATTATCTTTTTCTTATATTCTTTCACACTCAATTACCCCTTGCATCTTAGTGACTTTATTGCCTTGCTTGAGATGAAATAAATTCTGCCAATCAACAAAGTTATAAATAAGTAAATAGATGTCACATTGATTGAAGATAAAGTTACAACACCATGAAGTACTATGCCAATTTTAACTGGGGTACAGTACAGGTGGAGTGGCAGGCAGTAGATATTCTGGTAAAATCTCCAAAACCTTCAGCTGTCTTGTGATATAGTAACAATCACCCCAGTACATCATCTGTGTCTGAGCTTTAGAGAGTCACATGTTTTGATGAAGTTCAGTGTGGTGAAAAATTCCAGTGGATGCAAATGTCATGCCTCAGAGACACCTGTGTTCTTTTTGTTCAGTTAGACACAGTTGAAAAGGACAGCGGCAGATTATTGGCTTTCAAGGTAATTGGAAAGAATTGCAAAACATCCTGTATATATTTTATTGTCAAAAATTAAATGAGGAAGACTGGAGGTCACAATGGACAAAAAATTATGATAAAACCAACAAAGATGGGGACTTTTTTAACATTAAAATCATTTCCAATGCATTTTTATAGTAAAATCATTTTTTTTAGTCATGAATGAGGGATTATTAAAGTTAACACTTTTCAAAGCAACTTACCTTATGGATTGAATGAATTGGCCATTTATTTTATTATTTTCTTTTCATTAATTTATTGTCTATATTTTTGACTTAAAAACTATAGACTTTGCAATTGTGATGAAGACACTTTGATAATAGTGAGATTAACCATTTCCATACAGGAAACATTTGCTATTTATTGACAGTAATGTTAACTGTTCAAATTAACATAACTGTCAGTTAAGAATTATAAAGTTTTTCTTTTAAAACAGTTTTTAAAGAAAATGTAATGCATTTTATATTAAAATCCAAAGCAATTTTGTAGTAAAATCATTTCCAATGTATTTTTATAGCAAAATTAGTTCCAATGTATTTTTATATAAAAATTATTTCCAATACTTTTTATAGTTAAATCATTTCAAATACATTTTGATAGTAAAATCATTTCCAATGTATTTTATTGTAAAATCATTTCCAATACTTTTTTATAGTAAAATCATTTCCAACTTATTTGTATAGTAAAAGCATTTCCAATGCATTTTTAGAGTAAAATCATTTCCAACATATTCTTATAGCAAAATCATTTCCAATAATTTTTTATGGTAAAATCATTTCCAATGCTTTTTTTTATAGCAAAATCATATAATAGGATTCTCAAGTTCATTATCACTATCTGTTATCATTCTTTCTTGCATTGATGGGGGGGGGGGTCTTTTCTAACCTTTTATTTAAAGTAGCATGGAAAGTCAACATCTTGATTATGTAATTTTCCTTTCTAGTTATTTGTGCTACCCATTTTAGCTGTTGTTGGAAGTCTTGAAATGATATAGTTTTTGTTATTTGATAAAGTTCTTTCTGATTCTTTAATGCCAATCTCTGAGATCTGATGAAGAATTGTCTTCTTTAAGGCTGAGAGGATTCTGAGAAAATGGTTGCATACAGCTGAGAGTTTAGTCATTGGATGCCATGCATGAGATTCTAGGCTATTTTAGCATAATGTAAAATTGTAACCAATAGTTTTTGCATTTTTTCTACCCCATATACATATATATATATATATATATATATATATATATATATATATATATATTTATCACTTTAAACATTCTTAGTGGATACACCTTTTATTATTATTTATTAAACAGCATATTTATTTATTTTTGTCTACCTGCCTGCCTGAATGTTCAAGAAATTAAAAGAAATTTGCGTTTTGCATCCTTGGACAGAAGAACTACTGTTAGACATGGCACACATTAACAAATTTGCCTACAGTTGGTCAGGCAAGGCTCAAATTGTGCTTTAAGCAGAACTTCTCTCATCTGAAATTTTTGTATCCAAATGTAAACAATTTTTCTAAAGAAAATAATGGATTTTTATTAATCTAACAGATTTTTATCACTTTCAACATTATTTTTAGTGGATACTCATATTTGAATAGATGCTTAAAACTATATTTATTTGTCTATATTTCTGACTGTTTTCTGAGTGTTGTTGTCCTCCTCCTCTTGTACCTGCCTATTTTGTTTTTGGGGGCTGCTGCCATGTACCCAGGGTAGTTGTTACATTGTAGGGTACTACTTATACTGACCAATTCTTTATCTAATGTTTCTGGGTCACCACATGACTTTTACTTGGTGTTGTAAGCAACAGACGATCCCTTTCTTTACGCTGTATGGATGGTGGGAGTTGAAATTGAGGTACTTTCCAGTGAATGTCGGTTTTCGGTATGCGGATATCTTGAACCCATGCTCTGTTTGAGATATTAGAACATCCAGGAATGGGAGTGTGTTGTTACTCTCTTTCTCCATCATGAACTGTATTGAAGGTCTTATTGAGTTCACATGGTCCAGTAGAACCTGGACATTTTCCTGGTGTGGCCAGAGTATGAAATTGTCATCTATGTACCTTAACCATAGAGTTGGCTTTAGAGATATAGATTCTAATGCCATTTCCTCAAAGTATTCCATGTAAATATTCACCATTGCTGTGATAATGGTGAGCCATAGCTAAGCTCTCATCCTGTCGATATATGTGTGATCCCACTCCAAAGTGTGTTATTTGTGTACAGAAAATCAAAATCTCCATCAGATTATCTATTGGAATACTAGTCTCTTCTTCTAGGGATGAGTCAGAGGCCAACCATAGAAATGAATACAATATGAGAAAAGCGATAATAACAACAAAAATTGCAATACGAGCTCTGGTAAAAACATTGTATGATAACAGCAAAAATTGCAATATGAGCACTGGTAAAAAATGATTGCTGAAGACATTAGGTTTATAATACCCAGAAATTCATACACAGATGGCCTCAAGGAAACATGGCACTGTGGATAAAATCATTGGTTAGATCCAGTGAGTATTGTGAGTTCAATACCTGGTTAAGTCAGTGGAGAACTTGGAGAGGGGAATTAATGGCAGATAACTGATAACGGACATCCATTAAAAACATGGCATGTGGAACTAGAACAGTCTACCTACCAATAAAGGGTTCAGTTCGATATTCCAACCACCTGAAGAAGGCCGGAGCATACAATGGCCGAAATGTTGTAATAAATATGGTGACAAAGATGAGGACAATAGTCCGAATAATGTAAATAGAGCATATTTATTTTCTACTGACCTGAATATTCAAGAATTATTAAAGGAAAAATATACGCTTTCTGAGAAATTTTTCTTTAATAAGATTTCTCAAATATTCAGGCTGACAGACAAAAATAAATAAATATGCTGTTTAATAAATAAACAAAGTTCTACTCCAATATGAGTATCCACTAAAAATAATGTTTAAGATATAATATATATATATATATATATATATATATATATATATATATATATATATATATTTATTGATTATTATGGGTGAAGAATATAGTTGTAAATTATGAGTTTCGGATACAGATTTTTTACCTCTTTTGATTTTATGCCCTGCCATTTTGACTTTGGACTTGTGAGACTATTTTACACCCTGATTTTTTTATTTTGGGATCAGAATCAGCTTATTGCTATCTTTTCATCAAGTCTTCATGTGATATGGTTTCTGCTATTGGTTCTTTTTGATTCTGTAGTAGCAATCTTTAAGATCTGATGAAGGATTTCCTTCCTTAAGATCTCGAGGATTCTTTCACTTAAAGACATTTTTAATCACTGATCTGAGAAAGCAGTTGTATATAGTTGAGAGGTTCGACATTTCCGAAGGAGTTGGATGACATGCATGACATTTATACGAGAGCATAAGCTATTTATGAGCATAATCTTCAAGTAAAAATTCTAACCAATAGTTTTTGCATTCCCCCCACCTATATATATATATATATATATATATATATATATATATATATATATATATATATATATATATATATATATATATATATATATATATATATATATATATATATATATATATATATATATATATATATATATATATATATATATATATATATATATATATATATATATATATATATATATATATATATATATATATATATATATATATATATATATATATATATATGTATATATATATATATGTATGTAGGTATGTATGTCTATATAAGACTATCAATGAAATGATTATGAGACTGAAGATGTCCTTTTGTAGAATGAAACACATAGCATATGAATGCTTTTCCAATTCATCATTCAATAATGTATTTAATGTAAAAGATCAATAATGAGTCTAAATGATCTTCAGATCAAAGAGATTCTTTTAAAAGCTATCAAATTCTTTTTTTTTTCCCTTTCCAAATATGAAGAAACAAAAATAAAACTGAGGGAGAATGGCTATGAATGGAAACTCCAAAATGACATCTCCATTTAGTCGGTGCACAATTTTGTTTTTTTAATATTAATGTTCATCCAATATTCTTTCTTCTTTTATGTGCCATGTCCCTTCAAGACATAGGTGATTATGGTCCTCCACATCTTCCTGCTCCTTGTAGCTCTTAATAAGTTTTGCCTTTTTGTTATTTCTCTTAAACTCTCTTCTACCATCCATTTACTCAAGGCCATCAAGGATGTAATATGCTGCTCTCCTCTCTCCCTCTTTCCTCCAATCTGTCATGGGAATATCAGCCCTCCTTCAAACTGTTTATGGTGTCAGTTTGA